ATGACCTTCTGAACTGTTACAACTTGGTGTTATGCCACTAATCTGATCCACCTTCAATTTTAATAACTGATAGAAACACTTACCAAGACCCTAATTTTGGCATCAAAAACATTACTTTGTAGGTCAAAATCATAAAATAACTCCATGTTAATTTGTTAATTTATGAGATAGAAAACATGCAATCCTGAATTCTAAAAAGGCAATTTAATAACTTATCCCAATTACTCTTCCAGGAAGAGAGAGGGTGTTTGGAATTACATTAGAACATAATGTTCAGAATAAAAAACATCTGGAAAGAAAAATCAAGGGCCAATAAATATTCAATCTACATGAACTATAGGAAAATAGGAGAAAATACTGAAACTCCATGGAGACGCACAGAAGCCCATGACCACTTCCGAGATTACTCTTTGGATACTTCATTCAATTCACCTAATGGCTTATAAAGTGTGCAACCCGGTTCAGGAGGGCGTGTCTTTAATTTAGCTCGGAAAGCTGGTGAGTGCAGACAGACTCTAATCACAGGTGACTGACATCATTAGCGTGATTAAGAAGTTTCTAGTCTTGGAACTCCTTCACCCCAATCACCCGCTATGCTTTGGACCCAGGTTTCAGACCTGCAAACACTTTAGGGTTCTTAAGGGCAAGTGAGAGCTCGTTGAGGAAGGAGATGAAGTGGGAGTCCCTCTCCGATTTCTTTGACTCAAAAATGACGACAATGGTAAAGTGAGGTTCTGGGCGGGTCAGAAAGTAGGTGCTCTGGACTTTGTCGTCGTAGAAGTGGACCACCTTCTCCAAGCTGTTCAGGTCCGAAGTGCGGTCCGTCATGATCATGATGACGTTGGGCCAGTGCATGACCGGCCTGTCGCTGGGCAGAGAGACCACAGCCGGATACTGGTCCACGCCCTTAGGGGCCTCTCTGTAAGAGTGGGGGTGGTGGTAGCCATGACCTTGAAAGCTCTCAGAACCTCGGTTGTCGAAAATTAAGGACACGTTGGCAGCATCATACTTCCTGATAAAGCTGGAGATCTTTCCAAACAGGTCCGGGTTGGCCTTTGCAGTCAGCGCCTTCATTTCCGAGGCAGTTGTCTGCCGGCTTAGCGCTTCGTGAAAGTAAAAGCTGAACTTGGCCAGAAGCATGCTTTTGAGTCTCAGGAGCCACAGGAACAGGTGTGGGGGCTGCACCGTCTTCTGAGACTGACCCCCAAACAAGTGCTTCTTGGTCTCCCGCTGCTTCTCGAAGATCTGGCCCCAGGTCTGCAGCTTGGTGTGGGCACTGTGTAAGTTGACCAGGGAGGGGAGGAACTTCCACTCGGACACCTGGGCCTGGGCCTTCAGGAGGTGACTCAGGACATCGACTTCCAGCTGGAAACTGCTTTCCAAAGGACTGAGGATTGGGTGGTGAAATCTAAAAGGGGCAGGGGAATTAATAGAGAAAGTGAAAGTTACTCCACTGGCACCACGGATGCCTTCCGCCCTAAAAGAAACAATGAGGCCAGACAAATATTACATTTCAGGGGAGGGAAAGGAAAGATGGAAGAATTCCATGTTTATTTATTTAAAAATCCTGATATAACCTCACCAGTTCAGAGTTATGTCAACATCATATTCTCCTATGGAAATAGCCTGATGTTTTTTTAAAAAATAAAAGTAGTCACTACCTTCTTTCTAACAACAGAAAAATTGTTAGCTATAGCTCATTTTATCATCATTTACATCCAACACTTTCCTTAAGAGGACATGAATTCCCTGTACAAACCTTCAGAAAGAATTCGTATCAAGCTCTTCCATAACATATACTAAAAGTACTTAAATGCTCAACATTAATTAAAGATAAATGTGAAAGTTGAAGCTATTTTTCATCCTCAAGAAGAGCCAAAAACTCAGTGTTGGTCTGCCAAGACACAGACATGAGTATGACGACATGTCACTCCAGTCTCCACTCTGCTGACTGGGTAAGGGGCTGTCAGTCAAAAGTACACACCTAGGCTATGGCAGCACATTCCAAAGAGTCGGAGTACAGAATAAATTAACAACTATTTGCAGAGAACATGTGAAAGAAAAGGAAGGAAGGAAGGAAGGGAGAAAGGGAGGGAGGATCACTCCACAGACGAGAGGAAAATATAAAAACAGGGCTCAGCACCTATAGCTCAACCGGCTAAGGCACCAGCCACGTACACCTAAGGTGGTGGGTTCGAATCCCCAGCCCGGACCCGCCAAACAACAATAACGGCTGCAACCAAAAAATAGCCGGGTGTTGTGGTGGGTGCCTGTGGTCCCAGCTACTTGGGAGGCGGAGGCAGGAGACTCGCTTGAGCCCAGGAGTTGGAGGTTGCTGTGAGCTGTGATGCCATGGGCACTCTACCCAGGGCAACAGCTTGAGGCTCTGTCTCAAAAAAAAAAAAAAAAAAGAAAATATAAAAACAGACATATCTGCGTAATGTTCGAAAGAGATATAAAATTCCCCTTCAGAAGCACTAACTTGGCCCTTCACAAATCCACGCTGCAGGGTTCTTTCCAGAAGTAGAGTGCTGGTCTCACACCAGTGAGAAGTCAGAAGCCCAGTTACAAGAGCTCTGGAGCACAACAAAGTGAATGTACTAAATGCCAAATCAAACAGTCCACAGAAGAAAGGGTGTCCCCCTGGCAAAGGGCAGTACCATGTTAATTTAGACCTAAAGTAATCCCACTTCCCAAAGAAAATCAACATATTATATAGAATTTCAACTTTTCAGAGTTTTTTTTATGTTGTTCAAATTGACTCAACACCCCTAATCTAGATTGCTTTTAGGTTAGGATGTGTCTGTGATCAGGAATTCCCTATTAATTAGGGAAAAGCAGCAGGAGGGAAGGTGGGATGTGGAGGGCAAGTAGGGCAGCAGGGTCGGGCGGCATCTGGACAGAGGTACCCACTGGCCCTGCACGGTACTGCAGCACAGACCCCAGACTCATCAGCACCCTCAGAGCAAAAAGGCTGTGTTCAGGGGCTGCCGCCAGGCCTTAAAGAACAAACTCAGCTTCTACAAGAAAAGGGAGAAATTCCCAAGGCTCTGACAGTGGGGGGTTCAAAGAAGGTTCAAAGAGGACAGCTCACAAGGCTAACGAATGAATACAGGTGAACACGGACTCCTCGGACAGCTCACAAGGCTAACGAATGAATACAGGTGAACACGGACTCCTCGGACAGCTCACAAGGCTAACAAATGAATACAGGTGAACACGGACTCCTCGGAGAGACCCAGACACGCCCACACATCACCCTGAACAGTACAGCAAGGTCCTGCTTTCCATAAAAAATAATTTTTAAAAAGTAGCAGGTGTGGTGCCCCACACCTGTGGCCCTTGCCACCCAGGAGGCTGAGACATGAAGATCCCTGGAACTCAGAAATTGGAGGCTGCAGTGAGCTGTGATCCTGCCACCACACTCCAGCCCAGAGCAACAGAGCAAGACTCCGTCTTAAAAAAAAAAAGCCAGCTATAACTTTTTTTTTT